CCCCAGAAGCCTCAGCAGTTACCACAGGCTCTGCCAGGTTCAGTTTACGATGCCAACAGACAGTGCCGTCTCACATTTGGAGAGGAGTCCCGGCACTGTCCGGACCAGAACACCACCTGTGCCGCCCTTTGGTGCATGGTCACAACTGCAAATGGCTTGCCTGTCTGCCAAACCAAGAACTTTCCATGGGCCGATGGGACGCCTTGCAGGTCTGACAGCTACTGTATGGCAGGCCAATGTTTGAGCAGGTCCGAGGCTGCCAAGTATCAGGTGAGCACCGTTTGGTGTGCCATACAGAATTGATGTTATTCTGATTTGTGACTGACAATGGTTCTGTCCTCTCACCTTTTAGACTCCAGTCAATGGCGGATGGGGAGCCTGGGGACCTTGGGGAGATTGCTCCCGTACCTGTGGAGGAGGTGTGCAGTACTCTATCAGGGAGTGTGACAATCCCCTACCCAAAAATGGAGGCAAATACTGTGAGGGCAAGAGAATTCAGTATCGTTCCTGCAACACCGAGACCTGCCCTGATAGCAATGGTAAGGAATGGTCCTATTGCTGTTTTTGCAACAACATGCAAGCCGCTTGATTTACAACTGTTTTTATTTGCGCAGGTTTGACATTCCGTGAGGAGCAGTGTTTGGCCCACAATGACATCTCCTCTCAGGTGTTATTTGGCTCAGGAGAAGGCGTCGAGTGGGTGCCAAAGTATGCCGGGGTGTCTCCCAAGGACCGCTGCAAGTTGATGTGCCGAGCAAAAGGAACAGGCTACTTCGTCATTCTGAAGCCAAAGGTGAGTGTTCCAATTAGCCTGAGTTGTTAAATCTAACAGTGGTGTAGTAGATGCACTGGAGATGTTTAATCCAAGGTTCGTTCCAATGCCTTCAGGTGGCTGATGGTACACCATGCACTCCAGATTCCACCTCAGTCTGCGTCCAAGGCCAGTGTGTGAAAGCTGGTTGTGACAGGGTCATTGGCTCCAATAAGCGTTTTGACAAATGTGGCATCTGTGGAGGAGACGGATCGACTTGCAAGAAAGTTTCTGGATCAGTGGAACGTGCTAGGTAAGCCCACAATCTGCGCCAGTTAGAGTTTTCCAAAATTCCTTCTCAGATTTCTGTTTAATCTGACCTTTCCTTGTTTCTGAACTTTAGAGCGGGCTACCAAGATGTAGTGACGATTCCAGCCGGTGCCACGAACCTAGATGTTAAGCAGCGCTCTCTTGGAGGCCGCCGCCAAGATAATAGCTACCTAGCAGTTCGCAGGCAAGATGGCACGTACCTACTGAACGGCGACTATAAGCTGACCACTTTAGAGACTGACATCTCTCTGAAAGGTGCACTGCTGCGTTACAGCGGTTCCTCTGCCACACTAGAGCGCCTGCGAAGCTTTGCTCCCTTACCTGAGCCTCTTACCATCCAGGTGCTGTCAGTCGGTGATTCCCCCCGACCTCGCATAAAATTCAGCTACTTCGCACCACGCCCCAGTGGGACAAAACGGCCGTCCATTAACGTTATTAGTGAAGCAGGAGATGACGAATGGGCCCTACGTGAGTGGGGACCTTGTTCGAAGACCTGCGGCGGTGGTATCCAGAATCGGGACGTCATCTGTCTTGATGTATATGGCCGCCAATCGAAAAACTGTCCTGAAGAGCTGCGCCCTACGTCGTCGCAACCATGTGCTCTGCAGGCTTGCCCATCCTGGTTGCTCGGGGAGTGGTCTGCTTGTTCCAAAACCTGTGGCAGAGGCTTTCGCAAGCGCACCCTGCTCTGCATCGGACACGACGGCCGCACTTTGCCTAACGAGAGCTGCAATGCAAAAGATCGGCCACGACCTCTCCTGGATTTGTGCAACATGACTCCCTGTTGAAACTGAGCACTGAGGCTCGAAAACATCCTCGAACAGCTGTAACCTTGCACATCTGGTGCCGACCAACCCAGGTTTTTAGATTCAAAGGGCCCTTTATGACCGAGACTGCAAGCAAACTTCTTTCAGTGTTTCAAATCCCACCCATCCAACACTGGGGGCACAAAGCTGGCACACTGTGCACCTGTCTTGACAGCTGTGATGGAGGATGAGAATACACACACCTCTGCTGCTTTGGATAGTGATGTCATGCATGCTAGATTTTGAGTGTGCATGGGTGTGTATGACGATTAATGAAAGAGTGCATGAAACAGCTATGCATTTGTACCGTCTGTCTGAGCTGGACTAGACAGGCATGATTCGTTTGTCACAAGAGAGCATATAGGAACATATAGGAGCTATTGCCAGGGTCAAGAGCAGTAACAGAAGAGTTCATTAGTAGTGGTGTTATATAAAACGCCCTCTAGTGGTTCTCCATTTCAAAGTTGCAAACTCTGGCTCAGAGCACATATTTAACACATGCATTTTTCTTGCCAAAACCAACGCCATATCTCACCTCAGCTAGGCACACATGCTGTTAATCAAACACCACAACAGGTATTATGCATTTCCTCATAACTAAGTTTAACAAAGCACATTAGCTTTAAGTTTAGCTTCCTAGGTTGATATTTTCACCATTTTGCAAAGCCATACCCGATCAAGAGGGATCACGTTTTTAATGGGGAGGGAGACCAAAGAGCATAAGTTCTATACCTGACAAGAGACTGTGTTTGTGCGTGTTTATGTATGTGTGGGTTAGTTCTGTGTGTTTGTGTGGAGATATGGTGAGGGACTTCTCTCCTACTACTACTTCATAAGTAATCCTCTCCTGCCTTCTGAGAAGGTATCTTTGTAATGAGGTATTTCTTTTTGTACAGAATATCCAAACGTTATTTATTTTTGTACAGCCCATTTAATATAATCTTGTTGCTTTTTATAATTATTGTATTTCTATTTGTTATTATTATTGAAATAACTGAAGGATGTAGATTATATATTAGAGTATTTATACAATATCAATGATCTTAGGTTTATGAATAAAGTATCACATTGATTTGTGGACCAATATTTTTGTGATGGTGTCTTATTTTGGGTGTGGCTGCTGCTGACATTGAAGCACTTTATGTAGCCTAAATCCTAGTATGAGGACCCCTAGGGGTTCGTGAAGGTACTACGTTATATTTTCTCTAAAAATATAATGGTATTTTTAAGGTGGCTAATCTGCTCTAAATGATGGAGCAACATTAACATCTAAAGTCAGAACTCTAACGTATGCACATTGTTTGTAAACAGAAGTACATCCATTTAAGTACATGCATACATCAAAATAAACTCAAAAGAGCATCAACATGACTGACAATTATTAATACAAAGCTGCTGAGTCTGTCTGCTTGTATTATGAACCAGACAAGAAAGTCCACTGGGCTGAATTAAATCAATTGAATTAAATGAATTAGCACTCTCAATAGCTGTTCAAAGAAAAGCCTGTATGACCGGCATATTCAGCAGCACTGGTCATAACCAGGAAGTCTTTTGTTATATAACAATCTTTCATAATTTAAGAGGTTTTGTCATTATGTTGCAAGGGTGGCTGAAGAGGAAGCACATTCAGCCCTGGCTAGTCCTTCTGCTAAATAATACACGCAAGCAACCAACCGCTCAGTAAAAAAAACAACTGACCTTGAACACCATGATAGCAAGGCCTTTTCTAATGAAAACCTTTATTCTGACTGTCGGAAAACTGAGTAAGATCACAGAGTAGAACAAGAAAGACATGTAAATGTAAATATGTGAGATACAAGATAGCATGATGTAAATATATTTGCTTTCCCTTACACAACAACATTGAATTTAACAGGAAACGTTTTCAGAACGTTGGCTATAATGTGCAGTAACATTAATAGAACGTTCGTTATATGCTCTTTAATAATGTTCTCAAAACATTAGCACAATAGCAATATTTATACATCATTCATGGAATGAATTTTTTCTTAAATGTTTTAGTTGGATGTTCATGTAACATTTTCAAACGTTACCACTTTTTTCAGAATGTTCAGAGAACATTCAAATGTAACATCCCTGTAATGTCTGCAAATGATCAAATGAAATGTTCCATTAACATTCGCATAACCAAGGAAAAAAAACATCTAACGCTTCTTTTTAAAACATTCAGAAATGCTTTCTTGCGTTAATGGGAATGTTGGAAATGCGTTCTTAGAAGATTTTAGTTAGTTGAGTCCATGTTATTTGTCAACAACTCAAATACATTAAGCTTTGATTGAGTAGGGGATCAAGTCACAACTCGTAAACAATATATAATGGTAATCATTTAAGATAAATGTTATTTTTATGGTGCCCCAATTCTAAATGAGTCCGGTCTCATGAAAATGCGTATCAGTAGCACGATTTTCTGTTTCTATTTGGCGTGCTATAGAACAACACCTTTTGTGATGTCACAAATGGGGCGAAAACTCATATCCCGTGATTCACTGCGGTCAGACGGTGTGGATATGATACGTACGTGTTTGGCGTGCATATAGTACGCAATTTTCGCGTGCATATGATACGCAATTTGTTGGCATGCATATGATTCGCAGTTTCGGCGTTCATATAATACGCACCTACCCCACACCCCTAATCCTAAACATTGCGTATCATATGCACGCAAAAAAAAAAAAAAAAGTCAATTTCTGCGTATAAATAGCATGCCAAATAGCAACAGAAACTCGTGGTATTGATACGCACTTTCATGAGATTGGGTAGGAGTTCTAAATATGTGCTTGCATTCTACTGAGTTGATCAACTTAATTAAGTATGAACATTAGGGCCCATGAAACACGTGTTTTGAGATGCTCTTGTTTACTCTTTGTGTCGAGCTCAGGTCAGGGATGTTGCACACAGAGCGGATTCGTGAAAACACGACTCAACAGAGATCTAAATATAGACTTCAGGGACACTAGCGAGAAGATGAGGCCGCAATTTGCCGCTATTGAAGAGGGCGAACGTGTTCCCAGCATGATCGTGCGACTCTTGTGTTGTTCCTGAGTTAACCAGCCTCATTCACGTCTGTGTGATGAGGAGTCGTGACGGCGGAGGCGGCCGTTCGTTCAATTCGTTCAGTCGCATCCAGACCAGCTGGGCGACGTTCCTGGGGGAGGGGATCGAGCCGAAGAAAAGAAAATAGCGCAAGGAAGAAGTTAAAGACAAAGAGGGAGGACTCAGATGAGAAGTTGTGACTGAGAGACGAGTCGTGGAACACGTGGAGCGTTATGCATAAAAGAGTTTTGACAGTCAGAACAACATAGGCACAGTTTATAATAAGATTTAAGGCATGGCAGAATTAACGATCAAGTGTGCAAAGATTAAATAACGTTTCCAGGGTTTTTCAACAGAAATGCACAGGAACATTATGGAGACGCCGAGTTCACAGAAGAGTTGGAAGTTCTTGCGGGACTCTCTGCTGCTTTGCTTCTTTGCCGGTAATGTAGGCTAGTTTTATATTTGGAACTAGGAAGTAGATCAATTAAAAGTGTAATCGATTATTTATTTAAATTACAAACAAAGGAAAGTCACATATGTGTTACCTAGTTACTTACAAGTTGAGGTCGTAAATTAACTTGGGGTTAAACATTTCTCAGTTGCGTTTGTAAAAGATAGTTAATGACTTTCTTTTCAACAGAAATGCACAGGAACATTATGGAGACGCCGAGTTCACAGAAGAGTTGGAAGTTCTTGCGGGACTCTCTGCTGCTTTGCTTCTTTGCCGGTAATGTAGGCTAGTTTTATATTTGGAACTAGGAAGTAGATCAATTAAAAGTGTAATCGATTATTTATTTAAATTACAAACAAAGGAAAGTCACATATGTGTTACCTAGTTACTTACAATTTGAGGTCGTAAATTAACTTGGGGTTAAACATTTCTCAGTTGCGTTTGTAAAAGTTAGTTATGACTTTAGCTCAACATTTTTGCACTATGATGATTTATAATTCTCATTTTACCGCTGCGTTTAAAGCTACCATGGTAATGCAAATTTAGGTTCTAAAAACGTTGTGGGAACATTGTTTTGAAGCGATTCTAAAACGTTGAAGTGTCCGGCTTTCTTGTTGTGATTAGAATGTTATTTAAAGGTTACAAAAACGATTCTAAGAACGTTCATCATGCACAAAACATCATGTTTTGAGAATGTTATTCTAAGAACGCTTTCTCTCAACATTGAGAACACATGAGATATTAAGTTATAAGAACGTTCCATAAACATTACTTAGAAATTTTTTTTTTTAAAGTTGTGTAACATTTATAGAATTTTGAAAAACGTTAGTGAAAGTGAGAATGTTTCCTGTTAGTTACTTATGAGTTACTACTTAACAGACTAGTTTTATAAGTATTTTATATATGGGTTAAGTAACAATTTCTCCGTTGTCTGTGTAAGAGTTAGTTAATTAAATTTTCTTAACTTTATGATGCTGAAAAAAAACTTGCTTTAGAGTAATTGCTATTGACTAATTGCTCATTTCACTACCACTGCTGCCATGGTAATGCCATGGTATTCTTTGAAATACATTGAAGTATTAAGTAAATATATGGACACTGTATTTATTCAGTAGTATGACCATCTGATAGCATCACAGAACACTTTTCTGGAGTTTTATGATTAAATATGCATACACACATATATGTAGGAAGTGTGTGTGTGTGTGTGTGTGTGTGTGTGTGTGTGGTAACATTTAAAGCACCAGTGCATGTATTTGTGTGTGTGTGTGCGGTGCTGATATAGGGTTAGTGGTTTATCTGGCCTTGGCTGAGGCTCCACTGTTCTGCATTTGTAACCCTCAATACCGGATTCAGCCAGAGTGTGTGTGTGTGTGTGTGAGTGTGTTACTTAAGGGACAAAGTTTGTGGATGATTGAAAGTCAAATTTGTCTTGATCTGTACGTGTATTTCATTGTAAACATGCAGTTGTTGGTTTGTGTTTGACTCTCGTCTCAGTAGATGTCAGTGTGAAGCTATATGTAGGAAGTGTGTGTGTGTGTGTGTGTGTGTGTGTGTGTGGTAACATTTAAAGCACCAGTGCCTCTAAAGCGTCTTTGTCCCAAAAGTGTTGACCGACAGGACCCAGAGATACAGCGAGGGCCTCTAGGGGACCACCCAGTCTGCAGGGCCCCACATTAGCTCTGGAAAGCCAGATGCAAACAGACGCCAGTCAAATTGAAGCCAAATTTTGGTGCTTCAGAAGACATAATTGCACCAGTTATACTGTGATGAGACTGTGGGCAGGACAAGATAGCGCTGTAATTGTGTACCAACCATCCTTATCCTTGAGCTTGAGACATGTACATTAAAATATTGTTAGTGCTAAAACAGTTGTATTTAGAGCTCTTTTTCAAGTATGTTATGGCATCAAAACACGAGATGGACCCAGATCTATACAGATGGACTTGTTAAGCAATAGTTGTGCTTTATACACCCTTCACCAGCAGTGCAAATGCAATCCAGTCATGAGATGTATCATAAAGCTCTCTTAATCACAGATCAATAGCGTCTGATGCCAACATGAATCCAGCAGGCGTGTTTGGTGCATAAAGAGCTCTGAGCAAGAAGCAACACATGATGAAGCGCTGATGATTCGTTCTGCAGGATCAGACTCGTCTCAAACACAACACTAACAACTGAGAAACACTGCAGGGAGATTTCCATCAGTTGGTTTTGTCTCAATACACAATAATGTTCTTAAAGCATCTTTAATCTTCAAGTCAAGAGAAGTGAAAGACTGCAAAAATATCATATTCCTTTATCTGTGTCTTATATTCCACTGAAAATATTTAAACATTTTAAACATCATCTCTTACTAAATTTAGTAAAGTTTTTGACTATGGTATTTTTGTTACATACACAATGCTAAAAGTGCTTTACACATAAGGGATTTAAAAATAATCTTAATAGATGATATAAAAACAAAATCAACAAATATAATTAAAAACTAAATCCAATTCACTTCAAATTCACACTTGTGAATTAAATAAGAGCTTGTTTTTTAATTGTGAACAGTTATTATTACTAAAACTAGAAACATTTTCAAACATTAAAAATAAAACCTTTATTAAAACTTATTTTATTTCAGCTAGTTTCCATGGCAACATTTCTCATTTTCGTTTAGTGTACTAAAATAACTAAAACTAAAACCTAATGAAAACTATATAGATGTAAAAAATAAAAATAGGCATTTAATAAAAATGACAAAACAATAAAATTGCTAAAATTTTATTTAACTTGAATTTTATTTTTTTTAACTCACTTTAACTTGAATTAATTAAAAACAGAAAATATACGAATGAAATCTGATTCAAAATATGAACCAAAACTCCTAAATACTAAAATAAGATTGTGATTGTGAATTTTCCCTAACCATAACGGACATCGCTAAATAGTGAAAATGTAAATTATATTTTATTTCTGATGCCAGTGATCCTATAAATCAGTTCACATTAAGCAAATATTCTTGTAAATATATCATATTTTATTTAATGTGTGTGTGTGTCTGTGTGTGTGTGTGTGTGTTTGTGTGTCTGTGTGTGTGTCTGTGTTTCTGTGTGTGTGTGTGTGTCTGTGTGTGTGTGTGTGTGTGTGTGTGTGTGTGTGTGTGTGTCTGTGTCTGTGTGTGTCTGTCTGTGTGTAAGTGTTTCTGTGTGTGTGTGTGTGTATGTGTTTCTGTGTGTGTCTGTGTCTGTCTGTGTGTGTGTGTGTGTGTGTTTTGTAGGCCGTGGAGACGCTCAGTGTGACAGCTGTATTGAGTACTGCTGTGATGGAGCTCCTCCGTTCTGCTGCTCTTACTATGCGTATGTGGGAGACGTGCTCTCGTAAGTACACACACACACACACACACACACACTTACACATGTTGAGTTTCTATTTAAGGGTTTTGTAATGGTTTTTCTACTGTCCAAACTGTAAACTGGCATTTGTTGAATTTCACAGTTTAGTATGGTTTATGAGGACACAGGAAGTGTAAACCTCATTAACCAATTTCACTTTGTTGTACCCATGACATTATACAACCATATATGCAGAACACACACACACACACACTCTCACACAGCACATGTATAACGCCAGCATGAGTTGACCTCTGACCTCCCCTCCCCCTCACACACAGCTGCTTTTCCACTTCAATCTGAAATCCAACCCACATCCCGTAATCAGCCCTCGCGTCCAATTACATCTAATAATTCTGATGCTAGTTTGCATAAATCAAAACACATTTTTAATGACCACAGTAGAGTGTTCAAGTGATAAAAGTGACTTCCGATGATTTCACACATGAGACACACCTCTTCAATATCTTCATTGTTTCTCTTTAATAGAGGCTCTCAACTAACAGAGAACTTTCTCAGAACATTGCAGCAAGTTATGCAATCTGAAATCCAACCCACATCCCGTAATCAGCCCTCGCGTCCAATTACATCTAATAATTCTGATGCTAGTTTGCATAAATCAAAACACATTTTTAATGACCACAGTAGAGTGTTCAAGTGATAAAAGTGACTTCCGATGATTTCACACATGAGACACACCTCTTCAATATCGTCATTGTTTCTCTTTAATAGAGGCTCTCAACTAACAGAGAACTTTCTCAGAACATTGCAGCAAGTTATGAACAGTAACGTTAACGGAACATTTGTCCAACGTTGTTTTGTCTTTAATACTGTTCTCAAAATATATAAATATATTTTATACATTGTTCATAGAACTCTTTTCTGAAACATTATAGTTGGAAAGCGCCGGACGTTTTTTAAATGTTACTTCCTGTTTCAGAACGTTCAGAGAACATTCAAAAGTAACGTTCCCATAATGTTTGCAAAATGATACAATGTTTTTAAAAATTTTAAAAAGGGACGTTTTGAACATTCCGAAATAACATTTAATGAGAATGTCTGCAAAATCTTTTAGAATCTATATTTTGTGCATTTTTATTAAATTATATAAGCAGGCTACTTTTTAAAATAATTACATATTAATAATAAATCAAAACAATTGTTAAGAATTTAACCAACTAAATATAGCTTCAAAACATATAAGCATATATAAAGTAATAAAGGGGGAAAAAGACTATTACAAATGATTTTCAGTATCTGAGAGTGCTTTTAAGTATCCGAAAGTTTACAGACAATCATAGTTATGATCATAGTTTTTCCTCAGCATTATTGCTGTTTGATTATTACTGATGGGATCATAAACAGTGGCAGCTTTAATAAGCTGCATTCACACTAATGCACAGATCTGTTTCCGCATAGCAGATGTTCTGTCCTGTTCTGGAAACAACTGATTGTGTATGCATCAATTTCGTATCATAAAAGTATTCGGAGATGCAAGTGCATTTAACTTAAGTGCAAACACACACAAAAACAAGCTCAGAATCTTCGAAGAGAGAATCAATTATTATAACGCCCCTAGTTTCGTAGATGTTTCTCCTCACGTGAGCATCTCAGATGCTTTGGTTGGATCTGAACCAAACCTCAAGGCATCAGTCTCTCGCTCCCACATTCGTCCAAACTCGAAATGACAATTGAAAAGCAACACATTTGGTCTTTTGTGCCGTGTTTAGTCAGGTGCCTGATCGCTCAAGAGACGGATCACCGTTGACTCACAAAGGGACGGGATCCATCAGGAGACAAATAAATAAGAGCATGGGTGGTCTGTGCAAATATTGAGCTTATCCTGCCATGAAACGGGTAGTTAGTGTTTGACGAATCGAGCATCACTAGTCCTCTGCAGCGGATGTTAGTCTCAGTTTTGTTTGTTCAGGGGAACGGCTATCTCGGGGATCGTGTTTGGCGTGGTGTTTCTGATGGGCGCGGTGGCCGCCATCTTTCTGTGCATCTGTATGTGTGTGAAGAACGGCCGCGGGGCGAGAGTGGGCGTCTTCAGCTCGTCGTACATCAACACCGTGACTCAGGGTTACCCAGGTAACACAACAACACACACAAGCCTTCACACTGACTAACATGCTAAACCAGCACACAAGAGATCACAAATTAACTTGCACTTATAATCAATTCATATTCAGTAATGCTATGCATTTAACTGCACTTACACTATCAGGTGAGAATATCATCTCACTTCCCACATGGAAAAATACTATAGCAAATACTAGTGTTTTTGAACCATACTATAGTAAAGTGTATTACACTCTTAAAAACAAAGGTGCTTCACGATGCCATAAAATAACTTTTTTTTGTCTAAATGGTCAGATTAACCTCTGAAGAAACTTTGTTTCACAAGAGCTTCAAAAGGCCTTATTTTGCATCACTGAAACTGAATTGAATCAACATTGAACTGAATAAGGATACTATTGTTTTCTACAGAGCTGATTTTGAAGTAGTTTCATTATTGGTGAATTTTGCAGCATTAACGCTGTTATTTTACTGGTTATTTCTGTAAAGCTGCTTTGAAACAATCTGTACTGTATAAAGCACTATAGAAATAAATGTGACTTGACTTTTTTCAATCACCTTCACTATTTGCTTTTCCTAAACCGTATTCTACTTTTAAATAAATTTCTTCAACTATTTTTATTTAATTTCAAGGGCAAAAAGCATTAAATTAAGACACGGTTTATACGGGTCTTAAAGTCTTCATTTGCATTTCCACAAATTAAGGCCTTAAAAATCAGAGCAAAGACTTAAGAAATTAATAAAAGGCAGAATTTCATAAAGTCATGGCATGAATATCAAAAAATATATATTTTCAAAATGCAAAATCAATATATGAAGTCTTGATTTCTGAGAAACTGAACAACACGAAGTGAGTGGATGCTTAAAACAAGATCAAATATCAATGGGGAATGAAAACTTGTTTTCCCTTTGAATTAAGTTGATTTTTCTGAGTCCACTGGCTGATATTTGTTCTTGTTTGTGTGTAAAATGAATTAAAGAGCAATGGCGATCTTTTGGAAGTTGCTTATACAAGACATTCACATTTCGAACACATATATTTATCTGTTGTTTTCCCTTCAATGCTCTTTACTTGGTCTTAAAAAGTCTTAAATTTACCTTCATAAATCCTATAACAACCATTTCACACAATTCTCTGACAATTACAAACACCTTACCAACAATAAAACTAAACTTAAAAGCTGACATTCTGTATCAAGTCTATATCACTTTTTTATTTTTATTAGTTGCGTATATAACACTTGCATATTTATGAATATTTAATAAGATGAAAATGTGCATATTTTTTACATATTTGCATAATAAGTTTACAATTTGCATATTTTTTATGGCCATTTAAATGTGCCAAAACTTAAGTTTAGGGCTACTCTTAAATCAAAATGTGAAAGATAACACTATAATTCAGAGTTGTATGCATATCTAAGAAATTGTAATAAATTGTTTAATTTCTCTGTATGTTGCCACAGCTGGGAGTAACTTTAATATAGGTCACTTTTTGTATGTACGTCTATATATATATATATAATGGGCATATCAAATTAATACTGTAGGGTTGGTAAAGTGTTTTTTGTTTTTTTTTACAATACGCTATGCTCAAATTATTATTATTTTTTTAGCTTTTTCTGGCTGGAATCAAACATTTTGTACTGTCCCTATCTAAATAAACTAATAAATAAATAAAAAATAAGATAATATAGGTTATGTGGTTAGTAAACATCTTGTATTCAGTTAAACAGACATAATGAACATGTTAAGCAATAATTAAAGCTTTTCCTCATAACGATTATAATATGTGACCCTGGACCACAAAAGTGTGGTTCTTAAGTGTCAATTTTTTTAAATTGAGATGTATACATCATATGAAAGCTGAATAAATAATCTTTCCATTGATGTATGGTTTGTTAGGATAGGACAATATTTGAAAATCTGGAATCTGAGGGTGCAAAAAAATCACAATATTGAGAAAATCATCTTTAAAGTTGTTCAAATGAAGTTCTTAGCAATGCATATTACTAATCAAAAATTAAGTTTTGATATATTTACGGTAGGAAGTTTACAAAATATCTTCATGGAACATGATCTTTACTTAATATCCTAATGATTTTTGGCATAAAAGAAAAATCAATAATTTTGACCCATACAATGTATTGTTGGCTATTGCTACAAATATACCCCAGCGACTTAACACTGCTTTTGTGCTGCAGGGTCACATATAAGGTAATATTTGACAGTTTTGCATGTTGCTCCAAATATAAATAGAGCCTATGAATCTCTCCTGCTTGTTGCTCCTGTAAACGCAGCATTCATTTCCAATTCTGTCTCATTGCTCTCAGGTCCTCCACCTCCTTACAGCTACGATTATGAGATGTATTCTCCTGATCTACGGCCGCCTCCATACACTCCCACTCCACCCAGAGCGACAAACTACTCTCCACCTCCACCCTATCCAGGCTACAGCCGCAAATGAGCCTCCATGTGTGTGCTATTCTGAGAGGACACACAAAATAATGCACTAAAATCAAAAATGCCTGCACAAATGCCAGACTGGCGCTCTGTCCGTAAAGCAGGGATTTTCATTCACTCGACCAGCGCAAAGATGATTCTTACACAAGGATTGGAGTATTTTTATTTATGACATGGACATTTATGGTCTCAGAAACCTAATGAACACTAATAAACCTTATTAGGCAACATGAGGCCAGGACAGGCCTAAAAACTCCACAATGTAAATATCAGTGTTATTTCAGAAATACATACCTAAAATGTATCTGAGTGTCGTGATTCATTTTGATCAACTGAGTAAATAATATGGTAAGTGTATTTATTCATAGGATTTTGAAAGAGCAAGTTGTATTTGTAGTTGGCTACTGTTATGAAAACACACCAGGTGTAGTTAACCGTTCACCGATTGTGTCCAAACACCAAAACATTCATGCAATTTATGTCTGTTTTTACTTTTCATAATAAAACTGAAGGCTGCATGCTCGTGTTTTCCAGTGTGGTGCATACATATATAAGCAAAATATTGTATTCTTCGAGGTCTTTGAAAGCTAATTTGCACGCACATCCAAGAAAGTAGCCTGCATTAAAATATAAAAAATATTTCATTTAGAAATATGGAATATGAGAATTTACCGAACTAGACTATTACACATTTATAATAATGTTTTCATGATCGTCCACACGGTGGCAGCAAATAACAAACGAGCATAATTAAATTCTCCAGCTTGAACATAATCTAGAATCCAAGACATTTTAATGTTTTGATTTCCTTTTTATAAATGTCAATAAATAAAATGCATGCATTAGATGAGCAATGCCTCTGTATAGTGATTAAGGTAAAAAAAAAATTAAAAAAAAAAGAATTACATTAAAAAAATTAAAATAATAAAAAATAAAATTACATTTAGGCATAAGTAAAAAATAAACATTGACTGAAAAACAGATTGAACTGACTGAAGAGTGAAATATTTTTGTTATTACGCATAAAACGTAGGCTATGCAAGCGGAAAAGATTAAATAAATAATCTCAAGATTAAATAAATAATAATATAAATACAAATGCATATAAAATAAATAATAAAATATATTTAAATTAAAATAAAAATAGGTTAGAATAAAATAGTGCAGTCTTTGATTTTATTTTAATTGTAGTTGCCAGTATTTTTAGCGTTCCCCGCTCCCCCTCCCGTACATTCATTCGCTCGTTGTCCAGTCCGGTGACGCGTTGTTCTGACTCGCCATCGCAGGATCATCGCATTATCATCGCATTCTTCTCAAAGCCGACGCGATCCACACACCGACATCTTACACCAAACGGATAATTTAGTCGATATACAGAGCATCGCGTTTTGCTGGAAGCACGCAGAATGGGCGGTCGAGAGCTTTTCATGTTACTGATGGCCGCGACGTCGACGCTCGCTGCTGAGGTAAGAAATCGACAAAAGCGAATCTGATCAATTATTCGATTCAATGTAACCATCATCGCAGCGATAGACTGGAACGGCCGCGATGCGATTAAGCCGCGATATCGTGGAACGTTCATTTCGATACAAAAGATCGCGGCGGTGTTTTGTTCTGTTCATGTCGTTTCTAAGCCAGAATAAGGTTTAATAGCCTATCTAACCCTTGTGTATTTGTTTTATAGTCGTGTAATGTTACGCAAGGGATGTTTAGAATAAACGGCAATAGAAATGTATTAGTGGGAATAATCGCTACATAAGCGTTCCGCGCGCTGTTATATCAGCGATATTTTATATCCGACATACAGGATGAGCGGATACTATAACAGATCCATATATTAATATTAATAAACAGTCAGGCTGAAGGTTATGTAGCGAACGGCAGCGGCGTTTAAACGCTTAATGTGCCGCGTTCGAACATAAAGTGATTCAGTGATTCACACGTTACGTTTTGTTGTTGTTTTTTACTCTATTTTGGTATTTTGGTGTGGGTCCAGCTAGTTGATGGAGGAATGTGTTCAGTTGGGTTGGGATCAAACTACGGGAATCATACTGGGATCAAACGAGATCCTACTGGATCATCTGAAACCGGAAAATAAGAGTTTTATTTTCTGGGATTGATTCCAAATTATGATTCACTCGTCCCTGAGGTTTTCATCGAGGAAATCAGGCGTGTTGTTGTCGCTGTGTGTGTGTGTGTGTGTGTGTGTGTGTGTGAAGATGATTTTTCTGACGTCGGGATGGCTTTTATCTTTCCTCAGCCTTTGTTAGGCGATGTTTCTTTCAAACATGACTCGATAAAATGAATCATTGCGCTGATATCGCTAAATGCGTTCCGTTGAGAAGAACGCGTTGTGTGTGAACGCCCCCAATGATGGCGCCTGGAGCTACATTGTGTTTCGAGGAGCACGCTATTTTTAAACGCTAACAATCAGTTTAAGTGTATTTTTACTGTAAAGCACATTGTCTCTGGGTTGGTCTAAGCCTGTAATTTTCCACACCGCGGTCAGTGTGTGTCTCCACTCTATTCTCACCATTCCTAGACTCTTAAAGGATAAGGTACTGTGGTTTTTTTGGGAATAAACCATGGTGTTTTTGGATGAGCATTGGGGTACCGTGCCAATACCATGATATGTGAATATTGTAATCATCTGTGTATAAAATACCATGGTATTACCCTCAGATTCCACCGGTGTAATGAGAGAATGAATGATGTAAACAGCATTGGCCTGAAGCACATGCAGAGTCATTTTTGAGACCATAATGGGATGTTGCTGTTTATTGTGCTACAGAGTAAAGATATTGATTGGCTATTAGCTAGTGTTTTGGTGGATTGTGGTTTTGTCGGTCTTGCCACCAAAAGGTCTAGAAATCCAGGGTTTGATAGATGTTTCACGCTCGTGGAAAAATGTTAAAGCAGATAAACTCGCGCTGTGTGTTCAGGAAACGTTTATACTATAGTATTGGAACCCGGACTGGGTGATAGAGCTAAAAAATGGCCTTTTATGTGTTCCTCTGCCAGTTGAAGATATATTTAATATGCATCTTAATGTTTACGTATTTTTCTGTTTGTCAATCAGAGGAAGCATCATTTTCAGTTTAATTGCAAGAAGTAAAATAACCAATAATGACCTGTTTTCCCATGCACTTTTGTCACTTTTAATGCACTTTTAATTTTTATGCTTTTTTATATTTATATCCACCGATGTGATGATCTAAATAATAATTGCCCATGTTTTCATCAAGCTATATTAACTCGGAGATTTCTGTGAACGTTTTTGGCCAAATAAACAGTGCATTGTGATATCACAGCGTATTTTTGATTGCACATACAGTAATATAAACGGCTGCAGAATTGTGTTTGTTTTCATCTGTATCTTGCATAAACATCATATTGCATGTGGTCTTGTTTGTGCTTCAGTTAGCCAGTCATCCGCTTGTATTCAGAACTTTAGGTCTGTAAAGGTCACACTGGGATGGCTGGCATTGAGAGGCGAGCTTTGAGATGGGTTTGTGCTCTGAATGAGAGGCTTTGTTGGCTGTAACATGCGTGTCAGCAGGTAAACGATACTCACAGCCAACACAACAGCTTTCTGTGCAATCAGGAGGAGTTTGTGCGAAACCTCCCTGTAGCGCCGGCCCATAAATAGCCAGTGTTCATGATCAGATTTCAGTCATTTTACAGAATTAAACAACAATATCTCAATGAATTAGATGCGTTCTATTTATCTGAATATTGAAGGTGCTGTTAGACTAGCAGCAGTTATTCCCAATCTCTTGTGTTTCAATGAATCTGTTCAAAACTCTTTGATTTTTCAAACATTTTTTATATGCATTATCAATCAGAAACGTTCACAGAAATCTCTTCATGTATATTAAGACATATGTGCATAAAATATGCACGTAGATATTACTGTTTATTTCTTCACATAATTAAAAATGAATAAATATGATTAATCATCAACAATTAATTTGCGTTGTTATTCAGCAATATTTACAAACGTCTCTGCCAGGGTTATCGTCGTTGACTAAAACGAGCTCAAATTAAAACTGTTTAGAAAAACATTTTCTTTACTTGAAATAAAACAAACATTAACTGAACTAAAATACAATATAGAATATAAATATGTTCAGGTAGTTGCCAAGGCAGGTGTTCTCATTTTAATTTAGTTTAATCTGATGTACTAAAATAACTAAAACTGAAATAAACAATAATAAAAACTATATAGACATATTTAAAAAAAAAAAATAAATAAAAATAACCTACTAAAATGACAAAAGCACTCAAAAAAATTATTAAAACTTAACATTTAAAAAAAAATCTAATTATTAATAAAAACTCTAATTAAAATGAAAAAATAACACTGATCTCCTCATTGCATTTTTCTTATTTTAAAATGTTTTAGTAAAATAAATGTACATACATATTGCAGTTTATTGGTGCATATAAATAAAAATAAATAGATATGATTCATGATACAGTAAAAAACTTTTAAATAAAATTATTGTTTTTTAATGCATTAAATGTTAATTTATAATAATGCATTATGTTGCTCTCTTTGATTGCTTCCGTTGTCCTCATTTGTAAGTCACTTTGAATAAAAGCATCTGCTACATGACTAAATGTAAATGTAATATGTCATATATTTATATATCTCACAGTAATGATGAATTTATTACTCTGACCCGTTTAGTTTTAATGCATGAATTGCAATAATAGTAGTTTTAGTGACATGAAGAAGCATTGCATATGCAGGTTTTTCCCAAAAGTCAAAAAGTATTATTCATTGCTTGGTGAAAAGCTGTGTTTTTAACTAGATTTTGACTGTATTTTCATGCATTAAATGCCCTTTTAAGATCACATATGTAAATAAAATACATACAGTGAAATCTATTACTGTTTATCGGTGCATATGAATAAAAATGAATCAATTATCACTCAGAAATGTTTCTGAAAATCTCCCTTAGGGTTATTATTGTAGTTAACTAAAACTAAAATGAAACCATTAAAAAACTATTTCTATGCTTTAAATTAAGATTTTAATTTTTTTCAGCTAGTTGTCATTGCAATATTTCTCATTTTAATTTAGTTTAACTAATTAATAAACTATTAAAAATGAACGTTTACTATTAAAACTATTAAAAACAGCATTAATAAATCTTTAACTAAAATTTATATAAAAACAGAAAATATAAAAATAATTTTAAATGATTCAAAATATTAATAAAAACCATAATAACACTGACCTCCCTGTAGCATTTTTCATGTTTTAAAATGTGTCAGTAAAATATATGTCGATACATATTGCTGTTTATTAGTGCATATAAATAAAAATGAATAAATACGATCCAGCATAATTCATTTGTTCATTGAAGTCTTGTAAAAGTCTAGTAAAACATGGGTACATTTTTTTTTTATGTATAACATCCCAAAACGAATGTATAAATGAACTGTTTTTAAAGTAGATTTTACTCGTTTCATTTTCATGCATTAAATACACTTTTAACTGATTTTAGAGCAAATACGTAAATAATGACATTGTTTCATTTTCTAGGCAGCTTTGAAATGATTTATTGTGAAAATCTCTACAAATAAATGTGAAACTGCTGCAGTTATTATTGTTATCCTGATATTGCTTATACTGATTTATTATACTATTTGTGAAATGATTGCCTGGTTTATGATAGATGCAGTAAGAACACAACGGTGGGTTTGCATTGTCTTCAGTTGGACTGAAGCATGCAACACCCGCTGAGTGCCATTAAACAGCTTGAAAGATCAAAGACAATTTTTAATATAACTCTGACTGGATTCGTCTGAAAGAAGAAAGTCATATACACCTAGGATGACTCGGGGGTGAGTAAAACGCAGCCTAATTTTCATTTTTGGGTGAACTAACCCTTTAAGACTGGTTTTGTGCTCCAGGGTCACAAATGGAGATTTCTCCTTAAAGCAGTGCTGTTGAGCTGAAATGCATCAGATGCAGTAATTGTAGGACTGCAGATGTGTCGTGGTCTCGTGGGTTTCTTCTCTCGGTCGTTCTATATATAGTGTTTCTCTGGAGAGAGAGAGAGAGAGAGAGAGCTGCACCCGTCTCTGCTCTCCTTCCTCAGCGTTTCAGTCTTCCTCTCGTTCTGGAGCTGATTTGTAAATAGAGCTGAAGTGATGTTAATACAGTAGCGTGAGAATCACTGTATAGACGTCATCAGGTTCAGTAGGACGCGTGTTTGTGACGCTCGGGTTTTGTGTCTGAATCTACTATTCATTTAGCTTAAAAAAACACTAATGAATTTCATGCACTGAGAAAAGCTGGTGTGGGATTTCGTACGCTCGTATTGCATCATATGATGAATTGCTTGCTATACTCTCTTTATATGGATAATGACTAAATGTGACATGAACAATTTCAGTCAGAAATAACTAGTAAATTTCACAAACATTTACAAATAAATGGTGAGAGACACATTGAATTACACATGACATTTTTTTAAAGACTGAAAGACTGGCCTACTTCAACAATCTTTGCAAAAATTGCTGAAAAAAAAATATTTTTGCTCAGAAATTACTAGTAAATTTATACATAATTACGCTGATTTAAACATTACATTTTGAAGGACTGAAATAGTATTTTAGATTTTTTTATTCAATAATCTTTTGAAAGATTGCTTGTGTTTTTTTTGGGGGGGGGGGGTTAAAAGACTGCTTAATGAATGAATTTACTTTGGAACAAATTTCACTCACAAATTGCTTGTAAATTTTACAGAAAATTGCAAAGAAATGGTAAGTAATTTTGAATTAAACATTGACTGAAATTAGTATTTTCTTGTAAAACATACTTCAAAAAATTGCTTATGACTTTTTTTTTTTTCTAATTTTTACTTTATTGTTTTACCATTCATTACCATTCAGAAATTACTAGTAAATTTCACAAATATGGCAGAAACAGTCTTTCTTCAGTAAAGTGGTTCATGGGTGGTTCTTTCTGCTTCAAGCTCCTGTTTATTCCCAAAGCGGACGTCCACTGTGTGCTACAGTGCACACACAAATGTGTGTGTGTGTGTG